AATGCCCTCAAAAGAGCATCATGAACATGCACATGCTTGTTCATCTTGCAATCTAGCTCCAAAACCCCCTTGGGCCGAAGATCCAAACTAAAAAGAGGCTAGTTGGTTCAAAGCTTAACAAAGAGAAGAGGATCCACTTGCCCTTTCTCAACCCTGTGATTTACGCTGTCAGCACGCGATACATGAGCTTGCACCAGGCTTTATTGCTCCTGCGAGGATTTCATGGGGGTTTATTCAGGATTCCCAGCGCTTCATAATGGTTTCACACGAGTTGCGTGATGCTGAATATGCTTAATCTGGATCTGACTGTGAGATCTGGAAGATTCTGTAAAAAGCATTTCCGTGGTGCATTCCGGTGCTGTCATCTTGCATTGGTAGCGGTGCTATTACCCTTACCATGGATTTCTTTTTACAACCGTAAATGAAGCAATTTGGCTGATGGTGCGTGTGTACATGCGCCAGGAGCATGTGCCGGAAGGATTGAGGGAGTGGTTTAACTTTATGACTCGTAGTGCGACTGCTAATACCCATGCCAATTTGGCACGGCCAGCCCGTGCCGCCAGGCAAAATATTACAAAAAAGGAATGGCTCTACCTATGTTGTTCCCCGATCAGGATCCAGGAAATGAGTCACCTGCTACTACTTCGTATTATTTTTCTCTGCCTAATGCCATAGGTTAGATAAGAACCGCCTCACCAACAAAACCACTTCCAGTCGGGAGTTGAATTGGGAGAAGCGGATAGACTTGGGGACGTCCCAAAATTAGGGTTACTTGCTCATTTGGGATCCCTGAAAAAAGAATAGAATGTTTTGGGATCCGTCTTCAGTCCAATTCGAGATGCATGCAGGTAGCCCACTTCTGTGCAAGCAACACTCAGAAAAACCGAGCATGGTTAGCCATCTACGCCATGTTCAAGGGCATCCTTTGAGAAATCAATCTCTTGATTCTCCCGGTGCGTGGAGGTGTATATGGACAAATCTGCACACTCGCCTTTCGCTTGAAGAATAATTCCGAAGCGTTTGCCTTTTCATATTGATTCCCCCCTGTGCCAAAATCAATTCCAACGATATCCACTTCCCGACTATGCCAGAGAGGTCCTCCATCCTCTTCACACACGGCCGGGCCCGTGCATCTAGCGGCACATAGGACAGCCGCGCCCCCTTTTCGCATTTCTCTCCCGAGCCCGGGCAAATTACCCACACTGGAAAGCTCTGCCTCCACGTGAAGCGCTCCTAGGACAGGGCGGGTCAGCAGCTACCCCCCTTCCAAGCATTATCTTCTAGCATCCCTGGCTCCAAGTCCAAAAAGCCGAAGGAAGCTTCAACAAAGAAAAGGAGCATGAAGTCATATCAAGGGTGATTTCTCACTTTGCGGGAAACGTTTAGCATCATTAGGTAGTATGGAGAGCGTGGCCGTCAGAGCCTAGTCCTGCGGCACTCACGAACAACATTATTGTTCTGCTTTGTGTTTTGCTATGCTAAACTAGTAAGGACCCTATAACCATCATATGAGAGTCATAGGGTCCTAACTTTTTTTGGGGGGGTGGGTTACCAAAATTACTTTATCATAAACCTGCTTGGCATCAATACAACCTGATGGCCCATTCGCATGCGCAACGCGGGCTCGAAGTGATGTGTAGAACTGGTACAGCAAGGAGTCGCCAACAAAGGTTACAGCTGTTTTCGCTGGCACCAAGTTGCAAAGCTCCTTTGCTGACCTTGACTGGTCCTGGATACCACTGAACATATAATGACTTAGCAAATAACTTGCTACTCTAAGACCAGCAGAAATGTGTTGCCAAAACATTTGAAGTATGATTAGCTTGTGACATGAGAGGCCCGTCGCTCCACTCGTACCTCCATGCCTCCGACTCATTGCACATAGGCCCCCGGATCTTGCATTCTCTGTGGTTCTCTTCAAATGGCTTCGCGCAGAAGATCTCTGGTGGGTAAGGCGGGTCCAGGCCCGGGTCCTTAGTGCATGGACCAGGGTTCCACGCCTAAGCCATTCTTTCCAGAGAGAGCCCTTCAACAGGTTTGAAAATGGTAGAGATTATGCTGGCGGTGATTGTGAGGATGAGGATGAGGATGAGGAGGATGATGAGCATGATGAAGATGAAAATGGACCCCTGCCCGGGAACTGGTCAACACAGTACCCCGCACCCGACTTTACAAAGGCAGGACATAGCTAAACCTTGTGGATCTTGCGACTAGGTTTATAAGCAGGACCCGAAGAACCCCACCCCTGACTCGTACTTCCGGGTACCGCTTGACATGATACAACAGGGCTTTATTTTCCCGCATGCGCCGAAGACATCCATCCTGAAAGCTGACGGGGGGTCCTTTGAGCTCTTGGAATACTTCATAATCCTGATAGGAAGGCAACGCTAGATGTCAAAACTAGTACCACAGGGCCCAAGCGGACGGCTGTTTCCAAGAATTGGCTGCCCCTTCGGCCCTTTCAGATCCTAAAATACCATGACCCCTGCTATGGGAACGGGATAACTGGACCCAGTTTGAACCTGGCCAAGCAGCTGGCCTGAAACGCCAGTGCCCTGCAAGCGCTGTGCCAAAGGTAGCACATCCCAAATGCCAGCTCGAGAGAGCCATTGAGAACTGCTAATAGCCCCGGTGTCGATGCTGCTAAACTGCTGTTCTGAGATAATCCTAACTCTGGCGGCAGCAATTACAAACTGGTGCTGCTGGCACTCTCGCTTGGATCTTCAGAAGATATTGGGTTGAATCCATGTGCTTCTGCAATCCAACGCCAGATTTCTCATTACGGATAAGATCTTATTTCAGCAGGAATGATGCAACAAACAAAACATTGGAAGGAACATTGCCTGCCCTTGTTGAGCTTAAGCACTTGACTGCTGCAACTTGCTCACGCAGTCAGTCGAGTCGATATCTTTATAAACTTTTTTGGCGTAGAGATTGGAACACAAGTTGTTTAGGGGTCTTAACATTTTGTGGTTCACTTGGGTGCTCATTCCTTTCATTATCTATCCATCATGCAATTGTCACATTAGATATTTCTCATAATGTGTATCAGTCATCTATCATCCCAAATTCGCCCCACTTATGTAGGTTTCCACTGCTCATGCTTCCCACGACACCCCCGCTTTTACCTACTTTGAAAGCCTCGTGCAATTTCGAGCCATCGGGCTACGAGCCTCGTGCAATGCTCAGCGCATGTACTTGTAGTTATGGTGGTACTTGTTGTTGCTGTTGTTGCTGCAGCAGCCGTAGCCGTAGCAGAAGCCGCAGCCGTTGCCGTAACCGCAGCAGCACTGTAAGAGTAGCTGAAAGTGCAACATCCAGCACTTGCAAAGCCATCACGGTTGTACCAAGCCACTATCCGCTGCCAGACACTTGCTCAAACTGTTTGGCACAAAGTGTTCAAGTACACCAAGCTCATTCAGAAGTTAAGCCCAAGTCAGAAGCGCTTGCGGGCACGTGAGACCAGGCAGCTGGCTGATGTTATCATTTTAAGTGATGAACCCACACATGCCAGGACTTGGGCGAAGAAGGACTGGGCACGAAAGCAATGCAGAAAAAGCATGGCAAAGGTACATCAAAGCCTGGTGATAGCTTACTGGCTTGCAGTCTCCGTGGCAAAATCGATGTTCATGTGCTTTCATGGTATGCCCATAAAAACACACAACACTGCTTCGATGAAGGAACCACAAGCATTGTACGTAAACCTTAGGCTGTAGTCTACTTGTTGATAACGCTTCATTCTAGCTTCGCTTCCCAAGGACGCAAGGTGACCAGGCTATGGTGTGGTTGTGAAAGTCACCGTCTTACATTCCCTTGTTGGCCAAGATGTTGTACAGCTTCATGTTGCGTAACGTTGGCTGGGGTGGTGGTCGGGCACTCCTTAGCTTTTAGCTTATCTGGCTTTGCAAAATCGCTAGTTTGCTTGTTCTGTGTGTTGCTACGGAGTCGCCAAACAAGTGTGGATGCAGCTCTGGCACAGAGTTTTTCATCGCAGCTGGAGCTGGATACCCCCCAACAACTTCGGGAAGCGGCGTGGTGCTGATCAGTCAAGATGTTGTTGACTTTTGGGATTGGAGCGTCGAGGTTTGAAGATGTTTGAGGCGACCTGATCCTCCATGGATGTGTTTGTGGTCGAGACTGCTACGCTGGATGATGAGCCCGCTGCTCCTGAGCTGCTGCTGCAGCGTCCGCGGTCCAAACTCAAAGTTCATGACTGATGGCGTACCAGAGGATGTCGTGAGCAGAAGTAGCTCTTGCCAATGAATGGGCCACTCTTCTGTGCTTAGATCTGGCTGCCTGGCATTTGGGCCGTGTCTTGACGAAGGAGAATCGCCTCATGACCCGTGAAGATGTGGTAACTGCATTAGGAGATGCACTGGCGCAAAATGCCATTCCACCACTGCAAAATGACGTGGGTGTGGCAAAAGGTGCCTGCGGCGGATGCTATATGAAAGAATCATCAGCTTTAACTTGATCCGGTATCCGCGTCGCGTGTATGAAAATTGGTCGTGCTTCAATCGTGACAGAATATGTGACCTTCCCTCCCCTCCCTACTATGCGGCAAGTGCAACAAATACGTACAACGCTATGAGCTCGCACAACTGAGAAGAAACACCTAGATGCACGATCCCATAAAGGCCGCCTTGAAAAGCTTTCCCGGCACCAGTATTCTCTACAGTCATACTGTGGATGGAGGAAATCTTGCACCACCTGAGATCCTGAAGAGTCTAAAAAAGGTAACCCTGGCAAGGTGGTGGAAGATGCCCTGCAGCCACAATACCTCCGTGACAACATTTCAAGCTATCAGACAGCAGCCCGTGAATCCTGACTCTTGCAAGTCTGCATACATTTTTCCGTAAACAAGCTCGCGAACAGCATGATTTCGTTTTTCGCCTAGCTTCCGTCTTCCTTACCATCATGCACTGCAAGATCATCCGCTCTGGCGCATTTCACAACTCATGGTGGTACCAGCGCCATGCAGTGGAAGAGGTTGAAATGAGTCATCTCACAATCTCGCATTGCATCTCGACGGCTGCTTGTGCGTTTGTGTCAATTTTGCTGGCGTCCATATGGCATGTGAACCGTGTCAACGATCGGCTGCAAAGGACACCCGGAATCAGAAGTACTGCAGCCACGAGGTACACCATGCCATGGAACTGTCCGTCATTCTCGAACATTGGAATCAATACCTCAAGTCCGGGATGGATCAAAGCCAATTCTGACAGCATGCAATGAATGCAGCGCAGGCACATCTGATGCCAGCAGGGGGGCAAAGATTTTGGCAATTGTTTCCAAGATGGAAACCTGGGTTGCGGTGTAGAAAGCTTAAGTTGGACCATAGTAAGGAAACCATACTACAGTATATACTACAGCTCCATACCACGACAGCTTACTTACTTTAGCTCTTTAACAACAAGCCAGAAACTGCTCCTTGAAGTGTTCCTTGCAGTTGTGGTGGAAGCTCCCTTGCCGCGAGGCCCACAGCTATTGGATAACACATTGATCCAAAGCTGAAAAAGATGATCACCACGTAGGCAAAGCCCCAGGTGCTGGGAGTGAGCATAGAGAATGACAGATAAAAGATGCTGCTGCATGCGAAGCTCAGAGTCAAAGTTGCGATCTCGCCAATTCTGCGTGTCAGAATTGGCTGCAACACTCCCAGTATGACAAGAGACTGAAGAGCCCAGACGAAGCCCAGTAAAAGAAAGAATTTCTTGTCCATCAACAAGAACGTCCGGCAATAGAAATCCAAAGTGCTCACGAACATGTTGAGGGCAAAGGAGCTGAGGAACACCAAGATGGAGTAGATCACCTGAATTCGCTCAAAACCTGTCCTTTCTCCTCCCTTTGCGGGACTTTGGTTCTGTGGAACTGAACACAACTCGCAATTCCAACGTGCCCAAACAGTACAAAACATGTTTGACCTGGAAAGCATGGCTTGGGGAAATGGGGCTTCCGAGGTTGCGGATGCTCCGTCTCGTGCATTGGACGTCTCCCCTGCGGGAACCCCATCCTGCAGTCTCTAAAGCATCCCCTTGGGTTTAGGGTTTAGGGTTAACAATCCATTGAGGCCCCAAGACCCTGTGCATCCCTATGCCAATGTCCTGAATACACCCTGCAAGGCCTGGCCGGCACAATGTTTTAAGGTTGGGGCGACTATGTAGTAAAGAGCCCGGAACATCTGAAGATCCAATGCTCTGAAGGTACTGGTTGCACTAACCATCCATGAAAGTCTTGTATGGCTGTAGCTAGCTTGATGTCCAGCATGGTCTCGTAAAATGATACCAACCTCGACCCCAACAGCAACTGAGGGCCACTACTTATCATTTCCAAGGCGAGTACGCCACCCCAGAGACAGACGAGTCCACCAGTTCCCAGATCGGCATCACAACATCCATGTTCTGCTTGTATCAAAGACAAACGGGAGACAAAGGGGTTCACGCGGGAGACAAAGGAAACCGCCAGTTCCAGACCGGCAGTACTCTATCCAGGGTCGGCTCACTTCACTCGAGACAACTTTTGGAGTAGTGCTGCAACACAAGCAGAAACTCGTCACAAATCCTTGCCGTTGAGCCTTTCAGCCAATCAACAACCCCAGCGAAAGCTATTTGGGGAACAAATGGGAGACAAAGTGGAGACAAGAGGGAGACAAGTGAGTCCACTTCTCAAAGAGCATCGTCAGAGCATCCATTGTGCCTCTATCATGGAGAACAGACACGAGGAAGACAAATGGAACACAAACGAGTCCACCAGTCGAGGAGCAGCCTCACAGCATCCACAGTCTGCTCGCATCACTGTGAAAAATATGATGGAACACAAGTGGAAAAACCAGAAAGCCAAATGAGTGAACAAGTTCCAGAGCAGCGACCACGTTCTGTTCGTATCACAAACAAAGACAAATGGGGGACGAAGGGGAGATACGAGTCCACCAATCCCAGGGCACAGTCACGACATCCACGTTCACGTTCTGTTACTGTTCGCATCACACAACTCGACAAATGGCCTGCAAACGAATGACATCCGCAACTCGCTTGATGGCACACCGCCTCCGCGTGCAGACTGGACTGGAGATTTGAAAGTTAGACACTGAGGGCCACACCATTGCACGGGAAACTGTGAGCACCTGCGCGCCTGCCAAAGGGTTCGCCTCGGCAAAGGTGAAATTCTTTCGCGGCGCAATGTCCTTCCAAATAGTCAGGACCTCAGTCAGAATTCAAGCAGACGTCCAACATAAGCAAGGCAGCCCAAACTGCGAACAAGTGGCCACCAGGATGATGCACACGTTCAGACCTGTAGAAGTGAAATAGCAGGCGCGGAAGGAAATCTCCATCGTTTGCACCACAGCGACAATGATGCTGCCTCAGGGGCGTGGAATGGCAGCATATGGAATGTTATCATATTACCCCTGTAATCCCTGTAGTTTCCATTGTATTTTCCATTATCCCAATATATCCCCTAATATAACCCCAATAACCCCTATATGCAGATCCAGAGATGTCAACTCTCAGCCAATGGCCTGCGCACATTCCTGCCACCATAGCTGCCCCCAAGGCGGCCAAGTTTGAAGGGCACTCTGCAGCACTTGAGATATCGGCCGTGTAAGACTGCAACGTGACTTTGTAGTTGCCAAGGAAGCCGGCAATGCCGCGAGAGCAAAACAGCAAGCCCTCTGCGGTTTCTGCTGGGATCTGTTTGACGATGCCCAAGGTGGGCAAGCACAGGCCAGCTATGCTGTAATCAATGACCTCACGTCGGCGTACGTATCAGATGCGGCTCTCTCACAGGTTTAGGCACACCATACCATGTGCCATGCAACACCAACTTCAGAACACCAAAACATTCAGCGTCTAGATAAGAACAGGCATGCAACCAGACAGACCAACAAGCCGGATCAAGATCGGAATTACTAGGTTTCAATACCCCAAGAAACTTAGCAAATTTACAATCTGCAGTATCGAGCAACTTGTCCCACCTGTGCCAAGATTTGAATTGGTCTTCGCCCGTACTTGTCACTGAGAACCCCGACCAGCTGACTGGTGATCAGCTCGCAGACTGCGTTTGCTGCAAGCAGGCGTCCGTAGTACTTCTGAGCCGCAGATTTGGCAGTTTCGGCATCACCCGATGCATGGACCACCTCCGAACAGACCTCCAGCCACACGTTCATGGCAGCTCCCATACCTGCTTTTCTCATGCTCGGCTCATGCATCACTGATGTCGAACACCCCTCTTATCATGGCAAAGAACAGCCATCGACACACTTTGCTCTATGGCACTCCACTATCTACAGAATCTACTTGCGCAAGTCATGTTTTCAGATCTAGTGATCTGGCCGGGTGCTGAGATTGTGAAGCAGGCTGACAAGAACAGCCGGCCATGTTGGAGGGGCCCTGATCGGCCGCTCAGATTGGATGCTCGCTGCTGTAGACGCACGTTCTCGCGACCTCGTGATGGCCACAATACTGCCGGCACTTCAAACTGAAGCGGAGAACAGCTGCCACACAAGGCTCCTGACACTCTCAATGTAAACCTCTGATTAATAAACCCCCTCCCCTTAGTAGGGATTCTAATAGGTATCCTAAGTTTAAGGCCCTTAATCGGAGGGTTTATTCATAACCCTAAATAATAGTTTCCATGTTCTTTTCCGTTAGGGGTTCATTAATTATGGGCCTACATGGGAATTTCCCAAAATTAGGGGTACCATTTTTGGGGGTTCCATATAATAAGGACTATTGTATTTTGGGGTCTATATTGGGGTAAACCCTAAACCCTAATTTTGGGAAACTACCACACGACTCAGAGCCGCACAGTAGAAGAGACTGGTGCTCTGACCGCGCAGACTCGCCGAAGGACACCCGGGAGGTGGAAGGTTCGCTGAAGCTGCTGCGAGCCATGCTTCGAAGTTCCTGGGGTTGCTGTTGAGGAACTTAAACTAAGTTACTTAGGGTGCAGGGTTTGAGGTTTAGGGTTCAGGAACCTGGTTTAACTTACCATATTATCCCCCTATTAGGGTTTAGTGTGTAGGGTTTAGGGATAGTATCCTCCTATCATTGAGAATCAACTGGAAAAGCAAATGGAACATGAAATGGAAACTGGGGAAAATAGGGGCTTAAGGAACTTAATTTCAGTCACTATATTGGGGGAACCCTATTAACTACCATATTTACCCATATTATGCTACCCTCAATCCTAAACCTTCTATACCCTATGCATGTGTGAACATGAATATATATGGTGACTTAAATTAAGCTCCTTAACAGCAAGCCCAGGTTCACGTATGCCTCATCCCTGCTGCTTCCCGTTTGCACGCTCGAGCCCAGGGCCACATCTGGCAGCCCCAACACGCGGGAGCTTCAAATCGTCAATTAATGTAGGGGTTATATAGGGGATAATGGAAAAGAAAATTGAAACTACTCAAATAATGGGTTATATAGCACTTGTATAGGGGTTATGTAGGGGTAACATACGGGGTAATGGAAAAATGGAAACTACTATTTAGGCAGTAGTAGTTTAGGGTCTGCATATTCTAGTATTATATCATATAGGGGTTATATAGGCACAATCGGAAAAGAACATGGAAAACTACTGTAACATATTATTGCCATCATGGACTGAGTCCCATGGCAGGATCTCACCGCTCATGTCTTTGGCAGAGCTTGGTCAGAACTGGCTCTCAGTTAGGAATAAGGGAATATAGTATAGGGTTCAGGGTTTAGGGTTAGGAGGGTCGGTAGGACTAGTGAGGTTCGTAGTAGGATTAGTAAGGAATAGAACTCCGCTGCATGAAGGAAATCCTTTCAGCGGACAGCGTCGACCGGGACACGTCGCACCAAGTGAAACATTGCTTGTTCTGTTGATCTCTCACACCCCGTCGCCTAAACCCTGCACTAACTTTTTGGTGTCGAAAAATTTAAGCTTCACTTTTGGTTTCGGAATCGCTGCTGGGGAACAAGGGCTCTAATATCTCGAGTTACACACGAGGGGCTCCGATCTTTGCACTCACCGATTTGTCTTGGGTAAGATCACGATACTGATACGCTAAAACTCGTGGAGATGAGATCATTGGGGAAATTGCTGGCTCCCACTTCACACGAGGAACGGTGGCCCTGGAGGACCGCCTCTGGAGGAGCGGGCCTCTGATGAGCAGCGACTGCTGTGGCAAATGGTTGAAGCTTGCAGCTCCCCACACAACAATCGGAATTATGCGGGGAAGCAAGCCTGCAGCGCTCTTAGTTTGTTTGCGACCCGCGCAAGTCGCCTTGACTTACAACCCCGCTGAGCAGATCCTGAGATTCCGACCGGGCCCCCTGGGGTCAGCGTTCTTCGTCCAACGATGCTTGGGGCGCTCCTATGGCCTTAGGGCGGCTGACTGCTCAAACCCCTCCAGCTGCAGCATTGCACTTCCCTCTTATCTGCTACGCTGATGGATTCTACCAGTAGTGAGCAGCGAGACGCATCCGCACAAGCAAGAATGAGAGCTTGACTCTGTTCTGTTGGGGTCGGCTGCCGCGATACTGGAGCAGACGGCGGCCCCGACGCGCCCGATGCAGGGGTGGGCGGGCGCAGGTCCGCCAAACCTGGCCAAGCATGTTCGAGCCCGTTCATCCAAGTTCCGCTGGCTGCTATGCAAACCCCCAAGGATACGGCCTCCCATGTGAAAGATGTCCTGGGCATCTGAGAGCCGCCGATTGAACGAGATGTTGGAAGCTGATGCAGGCCTGGAAGCATGCGCGGCTAAGTAGTCACGCTATTTATTCAGATTGGCCTTTTTCGCGGCCCTGATCGTAGGTTGCCGTCGAGATGCCTGCTGCCATTTGGGCCCGGATCATTGTCCCAGTCTCGCAGAACTTGCAGCCTGAAGAGAAGCTTGCTCTCAAATGTTCAAAGCCCTGTCTAATGTCTAAAGCCTAATTATCTTGAACCAAATCCTGCTCTTGGACGCCCAGACCCCATCGCAGGAGCAGAACGTCGTCAAACTCGCTTGAGATCAGGCTAATCTCAACTTCACAACTCAAAGCTGAACAACCCCTGAACCGCCTCAGCCGCAACACCTCTATAGTAAGTTCTCCAGATACCCGACAACTGACGTTCCACAGAGCTTCACACGAACCCATGGGTCCCGAGCACGTCGTCTGCGCCTGAAGCAGCCTCAACCTGAGAAATCGGATAATGTCGAATGAGAAGTTAAAATTGGGTTGTCTCTGATTCTGTTAAAGAGCACAAGCTGAGTGCTTCCGTAAGCCATATGGCAGAAGGGCCTCCTCAGCCTCATCCTCCTCGACCTCCGTATGCAGAAAGAGCATGGGTGGAGGACGCTTCTTCACCTGCAGAGAGGGGTCACCCAAAGTCTTGCCAACCATTGCAGAGTGCTTCCCAAGAAAGCTTGCCTTTCTGGACCAGATACCTGCCAGTCAAAATAGTTGAGGTTCCAAACAGCAGGGGAGCTCCCTCGGGATCTTTCATGTTCTTGTTTCTTGTTACAGCGGATCGAACTTCAGGGTGTATACAACATGTAGTGGCTGTCAGAATGGAAAGCCTCCATCCTTGACGCGTGGTACTCCCACCTGCTATAGTAGTTTCCATCTTATTTCCATTACCCCAATCTAACCCCAATAGAAACCCTTATAGCTGCAATTCGGGCCCCAGCCCCTAAACCCAAAACCCCCAAATCCTACACCTCTAAACTCTCAACCCCTAAATCCTAAACCCCTAAATCCTAAACCCCTAAACTCTAAACCCCTAAACCCTAAACCCATCTGCTTCAATTCGGGCAGGTGTACCATGTGAGGTGCCGTTCTGACTGCCGGGGTCCGCTCCTGGGCTCCCGGGACTGATTCAGCAAACAAAGATGGGTTGTTAGTGATTTAAATACTCAGGAATGCAACCAGTATCTTGAAGCCTTGTAAACAAGTCATACAAGTTTTGGCAAAGAAGTAATATATATGGGTTGTTGCCAGTATTCTTGTTCCTTGAACTGACCTTGATTCGGTTTCCCCGGCGTGCCGCCTCATGTGGTAAGTATCT